CATTAGTACACTTTAAATATACTGAATTTTATTGCCAGCTCTGAGTTATTGATGGAGTCTTCACCTTTAGTATATATAAGATCATGTTATTTCTACACAGGAATATTTCACTTCCTCAACATTTTGAATGCATGTTAATTCTTTATGTAATTTCTCTGGATAGGAGCTATTTTGAACAAGAATATTACAAGTAGACATCCTTCACTTTTTTTATCTTGGGAAAAATGTTTTCAACTTTTTCCTGTTCAGTAATATGTGGCTCTCATATAAGAAGACATGAATTGTTGTGAACATTCTTGATATATAAAGATATTAAAAAATATGCTCTATATGTGTAATAAGAATTGTAATGCATTCCACTATTGTGTATTTAAAAAAATAAAATCAATTAAAAAAAGTAATATGTGGTTCTGTTATACAAAAACCAGTATCAAGATATGTTCCATTTATACATAATCTCTTAAGAATTTTTATAATGAAGGTATATTGAATATTATTGAATGCTTTTTATGCACCTATTAAGTTATTTATGTGGATTTTGTCCTCATAATGTTGAAGTTATGTGTTTTAAGTATTTACTTACATATATTGAACTATTCTTGATTCCCTGGGATAATTCCCACTTGATCAAGACAGATGATTGTAGTTAGCTATTGTATTCAGTTTTCCAGCATTATGTGGAGAAATTTTGCCTTTATATTTACAGGGGTTACCTGTCTGTAGTTTTGTCATTATTGTTGTACTGCTATTGATTTTGGTAACAGTATAATAATGTTTCATAGAATTAGTCTTTAGAGTTTTGATGAGTTAAGCAGTGAAGTCACCCAATATTTTTAATTGTGTAATTTTGACTACTCACTGAATTTTTTACTCATTATTGGTTCAATTAGCTTTTATATTTCTTCAGAATTCAATGATAGTAGGTTGTAAGTGCCATGAATTTATCAGTTTATTCTAGGTTTTCTAATTTGTTGCTATATAGTTGTTTATAAGACTTCCTAACAACCCTTTGTATTTCTATGCTATCAGTTATGTCACTTTTTCTATTTTTGTTAATGCCAACATTTTTTTAGGTCTTCTCTATTTTTTGTTTTAATCTAGCCAAAGTCATTTTAGTTTAACTTTTCAAACATAAACCCTACACTTCAATTATAACAATATGTATAACTTTGTTAATCATTATGTGTATTTTCAGAAAATGTTCTGACACACATCTTCAAAGGAAAAAAAAAACCTCTCACATTTATCCATCTTATACCCAAAAGTTTTATAGAATAATATCAAACAAAAACATTTGTAATAAAAATAGCCTGTAGCCATCACTTAATCCAACGTTAATGATGTAAATTATATTACTTCAAATGCATTGGGCTTTACAGTGAAAATGTTTACTCTCAAATTAAAAGGAGAATCTGAGAATTTTCTGGGGAAAACGTTTCGTTTCTGTAAATAAGTTGCTCATTCACAAACATTTACCAAAATGAAAGTACATTATACTTTAAAGGAGTTTTAATGTGTAGTTTGCAGCTACATATTTTTTCTTACGCGCTTTTATTTCCCACTAAAAGACAGAAAACTAACTGGATTGCCAAATCACAAATTATCTAATATAAACATCAATATAAAATTCCAATTTTTATTCTAGAGACCCTATTGAACGTACCAAATATTCTATGATCCATGGTCAACATTTCTGAATACTTTTAGTGTTTATAAACATCTCATTGAGATGTTCTGATGGCAGAGCCAGATGGCAGTGTAGGTCTCTCCAACCTATCCCTCCACAGAAACATTACTTTGAAAAGAGTATTAATGTAAAAAAAAAAAAAAAAAAAACTTTTAAATTATCTAAAGATCCCAAAATAGAAATGCTATCTTCTTTTAGCAGAATACTATAGGGGAAAAAATGCGTTGAAGAGATCTTGAAGTGCAGTCTCACATTGGTTCCAGTCTTCTCCCCCAATCCCAGATACCGTGGTATGGAAAAAGGCACAGTATAATTTAGGGAAGTAAAAGGAGTGTATGAGGTACTTTACTTTTGACCTCAGCACCAGGTCCAGCTTAAAACTTAGAAGTGGTCAGAAGTCCATGTTTTCTGACTCCAGGCTACTCTCTCAGGATAGAACCTGTAGACCTGCTATGGTGGCCAGCTGGAATCTGTCACCCCTACCTGGAATCCCAGAAAGCACATCAAGGAGAGAGAAGTATATCCTCGGGGGAAGGAGGGTAAAGTGAGTGGAGGTTTTTTCTTTGTAATCAAGTACTGTGCCCACTTTAGTAAAAACTAATGGTTGAGGAAAACCCTGTGACACTCATCTCTGGCTGCAATCTATCAGTGGCACTCTCTTAGACCTTTCCCAGCATCAGATGGACATCTGAAACTCTGGTGGGATAGATTTGTGTTCTGATGTATACAACCCCTGGGTAATTACAGACATCTCGGGCCCCAAATGGACCTTGGTGGTAGGCAGGCTGTAGTGATTGTAGGTCTACTAATGGGTACAGGATGCTACTCAAGGTGTATAGCCTTTTCCTTTCAGGTGAAAAACAAAGTAGTTTGGAAATAGGCAGAGGTATGAATTGCACAACACAATATATCAAAAACACTGAATTTTCCACATTAAAATAATTTATTGTAGGCTATAGGATTTTCACTTCAAAAAAAGATGATGACATTTGCTCCTGTTAATGACTAAGCCTGAAGTGAAAATTTATATTTATTTGATGTGTTGTACATTTATCATAAATATCATTCCTCCACTAAGTGACTACTAATTCTGTGTGTTCACCCTTTAGTCTGGTGAATATTTTCACCAGGTTTCTTGTCATAGGCTGTGGAAACAAAACCAAAAATGTGCACCTATCCAGATCACTGAGAATTTGAGATAAGTAATTGATACCTAGAAATAGATAACCCATCAAAATTACTTTTTAGAACACACAAGGAAATCACATATATTTGAAAAGTCACATTCTTTGTTATTTAAAATGTGTATATGCAATTTTAAATGATAATCTCTAATTTCTTGAAGAATTCTGTCACATTTGTAGAATCAAATATCCATTCATTCATTGGCATTTTCAAAATTAAACAATCTAGAGATGGTAACTCTCCAGGTATTTTTCTTTAGAGTTTTATTTTCTCCAGCATGACAAAAGGCTTAATAGAGTTCTTAAATTATAATTTACCATATAACTATCACCTGTATTTTTAAAAATTTAAGATTTTAAACATAAGAACTTAAGCAATATGTCAAACATAGTTTATTTATATTATGTTCACACTCCACAGGTACATTTTTTCCTCTGTATTCAAAATGATTTTATTAATATTGTGCAATATTGGTTAGAACATTTAATGTATTGTGTATGACATCAGATTGACAGACCTGTGAAAGATAAGTTATATAATCCTATAGTTTGTTGACATGTTGTAAATGTTATGTATTGCTTATTGGATAAGTAGGTTAGGTTATTCAGTTTGCTAGTAAAGCTTTAAAGTAAAGAAATTTCTATTTTTTATTTGAAAATGAAAGGCTCACAATTTAGGAGACATCAGGAAACTATTTTACAGGCTGCTGTTAGATTGGAATCATGTAATATAAAAAATTCTTCCAAGACTTTGACTTTCCTATGGAAAATCAACCATGATCAGCATGTGACTAAGACAGTCATTTATTTTCACTAAATCAACGGTTCATCAATTTATGGAAAACATTTATAGACCTAGCACAACTATATTTTTCTGGAACACAGAAAGATATTTTTCCCATTGAAAAGTTATCAATAACTTAGATATATTGAAATATTGAACACAATTCTTTTGTCTTCCTCCATATACACTATGCCACATAACCTTTCAATTTCATAATAGGTAGATACACTTGCTCCTGTTAATGACTCAACTATTCATTTTGGGCTCAACTATGATTTCCATTGGTTAATAGCATATCAGCAAACATGGCAGAAGGAGACTCATGCTAGCTTTTGTTTTAGTACCTCTTTGTGATTGACACTGGAAGAAAATACTCATACTACTCCAGTGATTCACAAACACTCAGAAGAGTTACCCAGTCACTGTGCAGATCTGCAGAGGAGAGACAAGTTGCCCAATCAGACCAGATAAAAACAGGTTAATCAAGAAAAGGTCTGACTGATATAAGCAGGGCTACCTAATCAATCAATCAAAAGTGTGTTATTTATCACTGAAATTCTTTTATTTTGTTATGTAGGTATATAACATATAAATAAATATTCACATGAATGACAAATTCAGATTTAGAAATATCTAATTATGAAGGGTATGGTTGTTTTAATTTTTGATGTGTTATATACAATTACCAAATAACATTTATGCTAACGCTTACCATACAATGTAACAAAATTAAAATCTTCACTTTGGGGGGCAGAGATATGCCTTATGCTTTTATAGTGTACCAATGTTCCCTATATGACAATGAATAAAATATTTATTATTTCTTATAATTTTTTTATCTGTGTGTCGACGAACTCTTAGATTACTCTATTACACTTGATTTTTCTCTTTCATGGTAAGGCATAAAATTGCAAAAGCTCTATAAATTAATTTCTCAAAAATGACTAAAAAAGAATAGAAGATCTATTTTAGAGTAAAGTGGTAACTAAATTTTTTTTTCATGACAAACCAGATTAGAAATTTTACTTAAATAGATAAAGACTTATTATTTTATTTTTTAGAATTTCATGGCTTATTTTCCAAACTTCCATTTAAACAGACATTGAATTATGGATCTGCTGGTGATTATGTTAAACATGTTCTGGTTGCTTTTTGAAAACTGAACTTTCAAATTGATGATAATTCTACGATATCTTGGATCATTCTGCATGATATATTTTTTTAACAAACTTTTTTTGTGTGTATGTGGTGCTGGGGATTGAACCCATTGCCTTGTGCATGTGAGGCAGGCAGTCTACCAACTGAGCTATATCCCCAGCCCCTGCAAGGTATTCTTAAACAGACATTACAATATGTGACATAATTTGGTGTTCATTAATTTCCTGACTGTCTCCTTCACATCTTTGTTCCTGAGACTATAGATAAGGGGGTTAAACATGGGGATGACCACTGTATAGAAGACAGAGGCAACCTTAACCATGAGCCATGAATTTTTGGTGACTGGAACACAATAGAGGAAAAGAATGGTTCCATGGAAAATGGTAATGGCGGTCAGATGAGAGGCACATGTGGAGAAAGCTTTGTGACGACCCTCAGTTGAAGGCATCTTCATGATTGTGATAAAAATGAAAACATAGGAAGCAAGAATAATCACTAAACTGCTTATTTCATTAAATGTAGCAGACACTAAAATGATCTTCTGGTTAATATAGGGATCTGAGTGTGATACAGCAACAATGGCAGCATGCTCACAAATAAAGTTATTTATGTTATTATTTCCTTGGAATGATAATTTCAGTAAAAAGTAAGTAAGAGTCAAGGAACAGACTAGCCCCCAAGAGTAGGATGCACCAACTAACAAGTAACACAGCTTCTGGGACATTGCAACCATGTAGAGAAGAGGGTTACAGACTGCCACAAATCGGTCATAGGCCATCACTGCCAACATGAATGTCTCTGTCACCACAAATATGCAGGCAAAGAAGAACTGCATGATGCAGCCTGTGAAGGAGATGGTTCTGTCTTCTACCACCAAATTTTCTAATAGTTTGGGAGTAACCACAGTCGAGTAGCAGAAATCAATGAAGGACAAGTGACTAAGGAAAAAGTACATGGGGGTGTGGAGTTTGGGGTTGACCCTGATGACCAGGATCATGCCTGTGTTCCCCAGCACAGTGACTGTGTAGATGGTCAGGAACACCAGGAACAGGGGCACCTGGAGCTCTGGGAATTCTGAGAAGCCCAGGAGGATGAATGTCACTCCAGCAGTCTGGTTTCCTTGGTTCCTGAGATAAAATAGGCAAGTTGATTCAGAAAAAAAGTAGACCACTTTGGGTGAGGCAGAATGAAATGAGCAAATACTCAGAGACCTACTGGTTATCAATAAAGATCATCCTGGAAAATACATTTGGCAGTTACATTAATTCATAAGCAAGCCTTCATTCACTCCACATATAATAGAGTATGAAATTTGTACAGATGGCATAATAAGCAAGTGTAGAGGGGGAGAACACAACTGCTATTAGCTCTGAAATATTTCCAAATAGCAAAATTAGCATCACCAGAGAGCACTTACCTGATGGGAAGGACCAGGTTAGATTTTTTGCATGAAATATAGTTTAATGAGGTACTTATTTTCAAGGAAATCGTCATCATGGGTTTCATGAATTTCTTCCCTGCCTCACCTGCCTCTCTGAGAATTTAAAACTATAAAAATGAATGACTCATCAAATTGATCAAGTTATTTTTTTTCTGTTGTTTCATAGCTATTTCTGAATTTCCTATTCCAGTGTCTTTCCCATGCTCCGACATACCATTCTCTTCACACATTTTCTATAAAGGAATAATTCATAATTATTGAAAAGTATAAATGCTGTTACCTCCTCTTGGTATTTACTGCAATTTGAGGTTGAAACGAACTTAAGTACAATATGTCCTGATTATTTTTGTTATTTTTAAATATTTCTATCACGTCATTCTCAGGTGGTCAATTTAGTCTACCTCAAAACCTCCAAAGATGAGACATTGCTTCCTGAGGAATTATAATGGTTTTTATTTGCTTCAGATTTTTTTTTTCTGAAATTCATTGGTTTTGATGGCTACATAGTTCTTTCAATGCTCTCTTCTACTGATTGTTTATAGGTTATTCTCCTAATCTCTGAAGAAACAACATTTTTTTTTTCACTTGAGTCATTCCCCTTATCCTCCTTATTGGTCTTTATGAATAATGGCAAACCCTAAAATTTCATTGAGTATCTATAACATAACAGATACTTCACTTACTTTCTTACCATTTATCATTGTGTCATTGTCTGTTTCACTTTAAAGTGAAATCCACGCAGATGGAACACTAGAACATAGCAGATCCTCCATAACGTTTATTGAATAAGTAGATGCATGGATGTGTAAATGAATGAATTCTACACTCTAGGCACATATTATACATGTATTTGGGTAAAAGCTTATAAAACTACTAAGAAGTTAAAATTGTCTATTGAATTAGGACTGCACTGTAAACACACAAGGGTCTGAGGCACATCTTGTACAAGTAGTTACAGTGAAACTCCATGGGATCTAAGCATGCTAAATTAGTATGAAGCAAGAACAGTTATGGAATAAAAAGAAGGATCATTGTACTATTTTTATATGTTCTGCAATCCCTCAAATTCCTTCCACTATGCTTTTCTTAATGTAATGCAATTATTCACAGAACCACATTATAACTACTTTATGAAACCTAAAATAGAAATAGGCATGAAGGGAAGAACATTTCACATAGAACACTTTGAGTCACATGCCTTATGAGAGGACATTAAATATGCCTATATTATTATTATTATTATTATTATTATCATCTTTATTATTCAAGACATTACACACAGTTTGTGTTTTATGAATAAGAACATACCATATGTAACATATCCCTGCAGATTTCTTTTGATTCAGTATCCATAATTTAACCTGCTACAATACTGATTATTTTATCAATGTATTTTTAATATAGTACTAATCACATTGAGTCAAAATTCCATGACTATACACTTTTTCACTTTTTCAAATGTTTTATAAAAATCTATTTTTTCTTTAAATCTGTTTTCACATATTCTGAGAGGCACAAAGTTGAAAGCAAAATCATTGCCATCAAAGACAAATATATGCTAATATTCATATATTCAGCTGATTCCTACCCTCACATCTTTTCCACACATGTAGCTTTAACTCACCTCCTACATTCTGCACCAGTACTTATGGACTTGAGGCTTCAGGCTAAGGTTCACAGTCTCATGTTTAGCTTCAGGAACCATCACAATATTCAACAAACTGAAGATTCAAGGTGCAAATTCTTTCCTTCCTTTCTAGTGACACACACCCTAGCTTATTTCTTATTGTAATTGCCTTGCACCCTTCACTGTATGAGCATTTTAAATAATAGAATTATAAAATATAAGCCTTTTCCTCTAACATGTTTCTTCTGAGATTCATCTGGGGAATAATATATGTAATTGCAAATTATGCAATATATCTCAGGATTCGTATCACTTACTAAAACTAAAGGTCTTTTGCATTAAAGAAGTTGTTTGTGATAAAAAATAAAATAAAGTATTTCCTGGTAACATAGTCCAGTCAATTAGAGTAAATATAGTGAAATAAAGAAAACAAATATTTCTAGCCTGCTGAACTGTGTGGTTGTCATGGCAGCTAGATTTATATCTGTTTGCCTCTTGCAAAGATTATAGGAACATATTCTTCTGCTTCTAAAGTAACATAAAGAAAGAATTGAATCAACCCACCTCAATGCAGAAGAATTTGACTGAATCATTTATTAAAAGTTCTTTACAAAAATTAATAGACTCCTTCAGAAAGAAAGGCTTTTTCTGCTTTTTTTATTTTTCAAAATAAACTCAGTGATGACAGAATGAAAGGAAGATGAAAGGCTGAATCCTAGCTCCAAAGGGTGCCACACATATATTCCACCAAGACCTTAGGGATTTTGACCCTAGAGAGTATAAGTAAAGGACTGCCTCAGAAGCAACACAGGGAGCAATTAGATGAAACAAAGCCCCATGTGATAATTGGTTGGAATGTAATTTCTTCCAAATATTGAGGAATACTTTCATTATCAATTAATTTCCATAATCCTACCTTAAATCTGTTTTCAGGCATAACACATTTTGATTTATTTATCTATTAATTTTTAAATTTACAAAAGGAAAACAGCTATTGAACAACTATCTAGAGATTACTACTCTTAAACATTTTTTTTTCCTGAACACCAATGTGGGTATATATGTATCCCTCTATATCCAGATGCAAAACTTGTATAAAAAGATGAATGGATAAAGAAATTGTGGCATATCTAAACAATGGTATATTACTCAGCCACAAACAAGAATAACATTATGACATTCACGAGTAAAAGAATGGATCTGGAGACAATCATGCTAAATGAAATAAGCCAAACCTCCATAAAGAATGGTTGAGTTTTTCTCTAACAAGTAGCCAAACAATCTAGAAAAAGAACAAATTTGGATTTTTGACACTTTCTCATTTCAAACTTACTAAAAGTTATCATAATCCAAACAACTAGATACTGGTATAAAAACAGATATATGATTCATAGACTAATGGAATAGAATAGAAATCTGAGAAATAAATGCACACACACACACACACATGTACATGCAAACACACATATATATTTAATGTATATCAGAAAAGGACCAAGATTCTTTAATGTCAACAGGGCAATCTTTTTAATGTATGATGTTCAGAAAGCTGGATACCTCATGCAAATAAATTTTAGATTTGTAATGTATTAAAAATAGTTAAAATGAATCAATGACTTAAAAAGTTGTAAAACTTATAAAAAAATCTTAGAAGACAAATTTTATGACTTAGTATTTGTAAATGATTTCCTGGATATCATATCAAAACAATAGAAAAAAATTTTAAAAATAGAAGAAAATAAGGAAGAAAAGAAAAATGGAAAATGACAAATGTTGGGAAGGATGTGAAGAAATTAGGCCCTTTAGTTACACATGGGAATGCACAATATTGATGTCTCGATGGAGGTTTGTGTGGTGGATCCTCAAATAACTAAATATGGAAATACTATAAGATGCAGTAATTCCACTTTGAATAAATATCAAACTAATTAAAAGTAGATTCTCTTGCAGATATTTGTTACTGGTTTTCTTAGAAACATTATTTACAGTAGCCAAAGGATGGAAAAAACCCAAATGTCCATCAACAAATGCCATATGTCAATATAGATGAAACATGAAAACATCAAGCTATATGAAATAAGACACAGAAGGTAAATTTTACATGAATAAACGTAGATGAGATACTTTTAAGAGCAAAATTCATATTGACAAAAATCAGAAAAAAGAAATTAAAGAAATACAATATGGATAAAAGAAATAAAACATAAAAATAGAAGAAATTGAAGAGGACTTTAGAAGATGGAAAGACCACCCATATTCTTAGATAAGCAGAATTAATAGAGTCAAAATGGTCATAGTTTGGACAAAACTTTCCTATGTTCATATATATCATCAGTGTAACTTCACATCATGTTCAGCCACAAGAATGGGATTCTAATCAGAATAAAATCATACTACATGTATGTATGATATGTCTAGATAAACTCTCCTGTCTAAAAAGAACAAAAAAAAAAAAAGAGAGAGAGCAAAAGATTGTCATACTACCAAAAGCAATATTTAGTTTTAATACAATTCCAACACAAATACTAATGACATTCATCAAAGAACTGAAAAAAAAAATCCATTTTTAAAATTTATTTGGAAGAATAAGAGACAGATAGTCAAAACAATCCTGATCAAGAAGAGTAACACGGTTGTGATGGAAACAAAAACAGACCTCAAATCATACTATAGAGCTATAGCAACCAAAAGAGCATGGTATTAGCACCAAAGCAGTCTTGAAGACCAAGTCATCAGATACAGTCTTGAAGACCCAGTCATCAAATGCTTAAAAAAGGTGCCAGAAACATATGTTGGAGAAAAGATAGTCTTTCAAACAAATGATGCTGGGAAACTGGATATCAATATGTAGAAGAATGAAACTAGATTCCCATTTCTCACCCTGCACAAAAGTCAACTCAAAGTGGATCAAAGCCCAGGAAATTAGACCAGAAACTCTGCAACTGCTAGAAGAAAATGTAGATTCAACACTCTAACAAATTGGCCCTGGCAACAATTTCATTAACAAGATCCATTTGGTGTAACAAATAAAACCAAGTATCAATAAGTAGGACAACATCAGATTAAAAAGCTCCGCACAACAGAGGAAAAAATGTTGTGCTTCAGGAGAAAGATTACAGAATGAGAGAAGGTCTTTGCCACCTGCTCCTCAGAGCACTAAAGTCAGAATATTATAAAGAACTCAAAACACTTAACTCAAAATAAACAACCAGATTAATAAATGGGTCAAAGACATTTCTTAAAAGAAGAAATATAAATGACCAAAAAGTACATAAAAAAATTCAACATCCCTAGCAATTAAGGAAATGTAAATCAAAACAAGGCACTAATTAAAAAAAAAACTATAAAATAATAGAAGAAAGATAAGTAGAGCAGAAGAAAGGAAAAAGGTATAGAGAGAAGGAGAAAAAACAGAGAGGTCCTGGG